TCGCCGTGGCAAATTTGTAAACCCTTGGCTGCCTTTTGTTGGGCCTATCAGTTGTGCGCGGTGTTGTTGTTTTTCTTTGGCGCTGGTGGGTGTTAGCCCCCCCCCCCCCCCCCCCCTTGTGGGCCTTGTGGTGTAGGACGAGGCGTCGGCCCTTGCCGTGACAGGCGCGCGGAATGTCGCCACCCTCACCGGCTTCTGTTGCTTGACCACCACGATCCCATCATGCCATCCCCATGACAGGCCATGCCAGTCGAGATGGCCTAGGGATGCGTGCGGAAGAGGGGAAAAGATAGTGTGGCGCTGGCCGCCGCATGCAAGTAGTCTGTTGGTTTCTCGTTCCACTCACTTCGTCCTTTGTCTGCCCTCTCTGCGAAACAAAACGTGGGAGAAGCAGCCAACACGAGCGAGCCAGATAGACTACCAACACGCCCCCCCTTCTTTGCAAACGAACCTTGATCGCCGATTCGCCGAGGGGGCCGCCAGTGCTGAGTGATAGATACAAGCGACTTGGTCTGCGCCGCCGTCGACCAAAGTACAGAGACATTGGATACGATGCGCAAGGGCACAGGGAAAGGGTGGCCGGGAGGAGTTATTTGGAAGTTCATGCCGTGTTACCGCTGTTGGCGTGTTTCGATCCAGAGATCTGGGTACCGTTCGCGGCTGTCAGTGGCCCAACCAAAGTAAGGAGAAGAGCCGGCAGCAGGCAGAAAGGTGCCGGCGTGCTCATTCGTCCAGTCCAGCGCCCGCGGCAATCGGTGCGCGGCAAGCCCTAGTCTAGGCGCGGCAGAGAGCCTTGCTAGCGGCAGGTGTTCGGCGCAGGCAGGAGATGAGGACTGTGCCCGTGCCGGCGCGCTCATGCCTCCGTATTTGGTCGTGCGGGGTGTGGTTAAGTCTCCGGACACCGCCGCTGCACCGTGGGGCGCAGGCAGCAAGAGTCGAGATGTCCAGTGTCTTGCAGCGCGGACGGTAGATGCTGACAGTACGAGAGTTCAGGTAGAACTCAAAGAACTCATCTATCGACAGCAGGCATATCAGGGGCTGGCTGCTCGGTGGTCATATTGGGCCCAAGCTCCCTTCAACTGCATTCCGCAGGGCTGTCTTCTTCTCTTGCTGGATGTGGCGGCCGGCAGGCCGGCGTGAACGGACGACCGGCACAGCAGTCTGCCCCCTTTGGGTGTTGCTTCCGAATGCCGACCGACAGCGACGGACGACGCGACGCTACGCTACCTACCTAGGTAGGTAGGTAGGCTACCGTGCCTGCGCCCAGCAGCGACCAGCAGAGCGGGCGCTTCCATGCAAGCGACGTCGCGACGTGCACGCTGCTGTGCCTGCGCAGATCAGTGATGACTGCAACCTCGTCCTATCGGGTCTCCCTGTTTCGAGCGGGCATCAATCGTTGCGGTCGCCGATGGAGGGGACCATTACGCCGTCTGTACTGGGCAAGGTGCCAAAGTTGCCGTGTAAGAGCTACTGCGGGTTTTTGACCCCGCAATCGTCGCAATCGTCGCAACCGTCCCATAATGGTCGCAGGTCGAGTCGGTTGGGAGGGTGGAGGGCAGACTCACGCTGCTTTGCGACCCCAACGCCGCCCCCTCGCCGCTTGGCAGACTCATCTCTGTCCAAACCGCTTCACCCCGTTTCTTTGTCGTAATGGTGGTGGTGTTGGGGGCGAGGGATGGCGCGTTTCCTCGAAGTGCGGGTCAATATCGTATCCCTGTCTTGAAGTCTCGATATGATTGGTTTCCGTTCTGTCGGGTCACGGCAGCCAATGTCCGGCGTGCGATGTGAGCAGGGGTGGTGTTGGCTGTGACAGACTGACAGCTCGACCCCCCAGACGATGTGTCCCGCTGTGTGCCCACTTCACCCTTCTGAATGGCAAAACCTGCGAATGAGCGAGCGAACTGCCGCGAAAAGTGTGCGCGAGCGCCAAGGCGAGAATTCCATCCCCAAAGGTGTCGAGCGAAAAAGTGTCGTTGTTGCGCCGATGAGGGGCGTCGACAGCGTCCGGAGTTATCTCCGCTAGCAGGATGTGCCGCGAAGAGAAGGCGCAAGTTCAGCCCAATGGGCGTTTTCGCGCAGTTGGCTCAGGTGCCAGGACCCTAGCTTTGCCCTAGGCTAAAAAGCCGCGAAATGAATCTAAGCTTATCGCAACCGCGCTGCCCTGTTGGGCAATGAGGAACGAGGCTAAGCGCGGATGGCACAGTCTCCGATCGTCCCCTGTCGCAGGACCGATCATGGGCGGCCACCCCCGCTGCGAGGCCTGCGAGACCTGCAACACTGCCCTAAAGCAAATCACCAACAACGTCCCAGCCAGACGACACAGATAAAAGGAACAAAAAGAAACACCCGACGTGGGGCTCGAACCCACGACCTTAAGATGAACATCCAGAACTCTCATGACTCGAGAAGACCGTGTTGTAGAAGTCTTACGCGCTACCAATTGCGCCAGCCGGGCATTGTGTGCGGTGTGCGATACTTTTTCGTCGTGGTGCTTCGGCTCTTCAACCTAGGGTTTGGACAAGAGGCCCCATCTGTCCTTGCCGCGTGGTCAGTGGATACAAGGTTGATACTGGCATGTGTGGCAGGTGCGTGCTGGAGCACTTTGCCCAGTTTCTGCGCATCGAATTGCACTGTGCTGCCCGCTGCTTCCAAGCCACGTCCCGCTCGCAATTCAGCAGAAGGGCTGCCTTCAGGGCGCACGCTTCACTGTCTCCCCACGACTTGGTGGACTGGCTCATCAACTGGCGGCCATGGCCATGGCCCTACGAGGGCGGACCACACCCGCGAGACACAAAACGGCTTCATGGCAGGCTCGAACACCACCCTTGCAGTCAAAGCGGTGTGTTCAAGGCCACTTCGTCTTGGCTGCAATTGACAGTTCCTCCGTCTGAACCAACCGGGTCCATCTATTTGGCCTTGGTTGGTTCTCTTTCGGCACAACAATTCGTCCGTTCCCTGCGCTGATCGTTGTGGCGGCGGCATGCTCTCGACTGCAATCAGGAAATCGTGGGAAATGCAGCCCTGGGGAAAATGGCGGTGATGCTCTCCTCGGTGGGCGAGGGGTAGCAAGCTGCCCTCGCGCAACAAATGGAATAGTGGCGTCGGCTGAGAGGTTGGCGGACGCCCGTCACCAACCCTCCGTCTTCCCCAATGCGGCAGCCTCGCACACACGCCGAGACCGGTCCCGATCCCGGGTCGGAGCAGGAATCTCCTCCGTCTGCCGTCTGCGCCATGCAGGGTGAGGGGACAGCTTACGTCTTTGTGGACTATGAGGGCAGCTGCCTGTATCGATGGCATCCAAAGGCGCAGCGCCCCTCGCATAACTGCTCTCCTGGGAGTTCCCTTGACCTGGGGTACCAAAGGGAGCGGCCCGCGTGGTTACAGTACATGAAGCGAGCTGGCTAGCGACCGATGGACGGAGATTGTGGATGCAGACGATGGCACTATGCATGCGAGATATGATGGACGATCATGGAAACTAGTTCGTGATGGGTGCGTGTTGCTTTCTTCCCTGCAGTGTCACCGACCACTTCATGTGGCGGCTTCCTTTCCGCTTCCCCGTCGACCTCGAATGCCTCCCTCCCCCCCTCACGCCGTAAGCGCTCGAGGGTCCAGCACCCGAAGTGATTCGTCTGAACATGGTGACGCAACGCCTAGCTCTTCAATGTGCAATGTTCCACAACAAGGTGCAGATGGCGCATCGCGACGCCTGAGGGTCTTTAGCAGGTGACGACGGCGGGGAGGTGGGCGCTTCAACCCCTCACCTCCCTGTCCCCCCTCCCCCTCCCAGCTGTCGGTCTAGCTTCGCGGCGCTTTCGAGTTTGTTCTTTCTGTAGCTGCCGGCGCGCAGCCATCTCCAGCAGCCAGATGTCGGCCAGAGGGTCAAACACGGCGGAGAAGCACACCCTCAGTGCTCATAGGTCGAAAAGAATGCGTGTTTGCACGGCGCCTTGCCTAGATGGGTGGTGATGTGCGGGATGTCTTCCGCTCAGTCAACCGGGGAGGAGCTAGGTTTGGCGTTAGTGACAGGTGTCAAAACGTGGACTTTGTTGAGCTGTCATCTCATGCAGGCAAGGAAGGGGATGAGGGAAAAAAATGTCCACCCCCACCAACCGTTTCCTGCTGCTGCGAGACCCGGGCATACATGGTGTATCCACCAATCCGATGTGCGTCTCCATGTCCCGATCTTGCCCACAGGAAGCAACATCCTGGATCAGCGGTCAAGAAAAGTGCTCTCTCATTGATCCGACCGGATTTCTGGTAGCTGGGGGCCGTCGATCCTTCCGCGTTTCCCGCTCGATCTCGATAGTATCGGGCGCCCAACCAGGTACGCGGGACCGTGGCACCAGCGCATTGTCTCGAGATGCGACATTGAGCAGCGCGCCCACGAACCACTTGTCCCGCACGCCGCTAGAATTGCATAGCTGCGTGATCACCTGCGAGATGGAGCAGTCCCTGCTAGAGTTATCACCGCGGAAGACGCTGGGAGCAAGGCGCTCAACTTAGCGTCTGAGCGTCTCCCACACCAGGACTGCGATTGGCAAACAGCCCCCTTTAGTGACCGGCTTTGCTGGACTCGGGAGCCGACGGCGGGTGGTGAATGTTCGGCCCGAGGGAGAACGCCGCTCGGGGACCTGATGGAAGCCGAGGCCTCGTCGACATGTTTTGTTGCGCGGGCTTTGCTGAATCCAGACAAGGCGAGGGATGAAGCTGAATTGTCGGTATTGTTTGGAGATGTCAACGGAAAGTTCCTAGCGAGGACTTCAAACTGAAGAGTTTGATCCCTGTTGCATTCGACATTGCATTGGCACACCCGTCAATGAGCCCCATGGATCGCCAGGAATTACCCGAATCTGGCTCTATTCGAAGCCACGGCGTACTGGCGACGGCAGCTAGGAAGTCCGGGAGCTGGAACCGAATCCAGCTGATAGGGGGTCGATGGTGCTGTAAGTGCACATTCGGAAGAGGCTGCAGTAGCATCATGCAGACGCCCTGCTCCCCCATGCCGTCCAGTTCGGGCGCCATGGTCACACAGACTCGAACCCGCGGTATCTGAAGCCGGCGAAGCTGCAAGGTTTGAAGCGCTCACCGAGTTGGCTTCCAATTCCACCATCGCACATCGGCGAGCTAAGACGGGTTTGAGCAGATGCACGACGAGGCCGATGAGTGATATGTCAATCTGTCATTTGACAGCGAGACCGACTCCCACGCAGAGCAGACGAATGAGCAGGGGAGCCATGCCACTCCGTCCCCGTGGACATGGACGGGAAGCCTGTCAAGTCGATGCCGAGCTCGCGGCATCACGACCGGATGCGGCATTGCTTGCATGTGTCATTGTCAGCTCCCTGGGCGCCACCATATCATCTACCAGCCTCATTAGCAGAGAGCTCTATCGGTGAGGAATTTGACAGGTGACATGTCAAGATAACAACGGCGGAGCCTCAGTTCCTCCTCGACCTTCGGGTCCTGGAAGCGGACCAAGGCTCAATGCACAACGCGAATCTTCGTTTGCGTCATAGTACTTGAGCTCCGGCGCCCAGGCTCGCGGCGTCTTAGTATTGTTTGTTGAGCAAGAGGCGGCGGTGGATTTGGCTGGCTGCATGTTTCTTGTCGTGGCCATCAGCAAATCCGTGGCCCACCGTTGGGCGGTGGATGCCAGGACCAAAGTACCGGCCAATGCGGCCAGCATTGGGGTTTCCATTGCATCCAGAAGCAGCTCCCGAGTTCAATCGTCTCGTGAATTATGTGTTTTGACAAAGCTGGCTGTTCAAGGTCTGTAAAATGCAACGAGCTTTTGTAGCAAGATGCCAAGCAGCTGCCGACTGGCGTTGCAAGAATCTCTGCTGGCTGCTGAGATAGAGGATGATGTGGTTGAGCTGGGCGAATCTGCGATAGAACGGTTAAGTTCACAAATTGCCGCCGAGTAATCATCAGATTGGCCCAGCAAGCATTCTTCCGCGGTCTTGCGTTTCTCACGGGTAAACGCGGGGTCCTTGAGTGTGTCCTCCCCCCTGAATCGGATCACGATTGACCCAGCGTCGCCTGTTTAGCATATCATTCAAGTGCTGAATAGGCCATCGATGAACGACAATGAAGCCCTTGGTGCTCCTCTCAACAACGCTGTCATCAGTTTTGGCCTTGGAGTACCCTCTTTCTCCGAGGCCAACCCTCTTCCCCGTGCCACATCACCCGAGAGTTCCATTCCCTAACCCCCCACGGCGCGCAAACTCCAAGGTGTGCGTCGTGAATACGCACGGGGACGGGATCACAGACGATTCACCCAGCATCCTTTTTGCCTTCCACCAGTGCAACGATGGAGGACATGTGCTCTTTCTCCGAGACGTGACATACATCGTGGGTACCGCGATCGACCTAAGCTTCTTGAAGCATGTTGACATTGGTATGACCTGATCCCGTAACGTCCACCCTTGACCGTGGTGGAGGAGCGGTTGTCCAGTCGCTGACGCTTGTTGAACAAGACATCCAAGGTCGTATCCAGTTCAGCAACAACACGGAATACTGGCAGAACAATTCCTTCCTCTTCCACTTCCAAAACGTCACCTCTTTCTTCAAGCTTGGGGGAGAGGACGTGTGGATGTACGGAGGTAGGGCGTCCTTGGCGATCCCCCTTTTCTTGTTGTGAGCGTGACACATCGTTCGTCCTCCCTCCCGGCCGTAACGGCGGTCAGCTCGGGCCTTAAAATCTGGGTTGTCTCCGATACCGAACGTGTTGGAGTACGGGGCTCTCCCAAAGAGGGGTCAAGGTCGTGACATTGTTCGGTGCAAATTGTGTGGTCGAAAGAGTCCGCCGGTGTCAAGAGATACCCACAGCCCCTTCCTCAGAAGCCTGGTCTTGGGCCGACCTTCACCCACGGCGTCTGCTGTGACACCGCAGGAGCCGTCGCGGGCGGTGGCCCGAAACGACTTGTATATGCATTGTCCTTGTTGGCTGACGCAAGGCAGGTGGTACCCTCGACGGCAATGGCCAGGTGTGGTACGACGAGTACGCCAGAAACCCCTACACCCTGCGGCCTGTGCTTGTCGGCATCGATGGGCTGAGGGACAGCGTGCTTTCCGACTTGAGGTTGCGCCGTAGCCCGCAATACTATCACTTCGTTGCGAACGCCTCCAATGTCGTGTTCAACAATATCGACATTTCTGGTGCGAGTGTAAGTCAGAACAGTGCTAAAAATACCGACGGATGGGACACATACCGCAGCCGGGACGTTACCATCATGAATTCGGTCATCAACAACAGCGACGGTAAGTAAATCGGTGCGTTGGGTAAAGAATCTCAGGTTATGGAGGTGCTCGACAGGATGACGAATGGAGGTCCAGCACGCAGCATAGCCTCAGTCGAGCTGACTTTTCGCGTGCAATGGCAGACTGCGTATCCCTCAAGCCGAACAGCTCCGACATCTTGGTGCAGTCGCTCTTCTGCAATGGCTCGCACGG